CACAGTACTCTAACTGAGGCCTAACCAGTGTTTTATAAAGGTTCATCATAACTTCCTGACTTTTGTATTCTATGCCCCTATTTATAAAGCCTAGTATCCCATATGTTTTTTTTTAAAACAGCTTTATCTACCTGTCCTGCCACCTTCAAAGATTTTCTTATATGAATCCTCAAGTCTCTGTTTCTTCACTCCCTTTAAGATTGTACCATCAGCTTATATTGCCTCTCCTCATTCTTCCTCTCAAAATGCATCACTTTGCATTTCTCCACATTAAACTTCATCTGCCACGTGTCTTTTTACCAGTCTGTCTATGCCCATATGCAGTCTGCTACTATCCTCCTCAGTTTACTACTTTCCTAGCTTAGTATCATCTGCAAACTTGGAAATTGTACTCCCCATACCCAAGTCCAGGTCATTTATATAGATCAAAAACAGCAGTGGTCCCAATACTGACCCCTGGGGGACACCACTTCCCTGCAGTCAGAAAAACAAACGTTCACCACTACTCTCTGCTTTCTGTCTCCCAGCCAGTTCTGTATCCATGCTGCCACTGTCCCTTTAATACCATGGGCTTCTATTTTGCTTACAAGTCTCTTATGTGGCACTTTATCAAACGCCTTTTGAAAATCCATATAAACTACATCAACTGCACTACCTTCATCCACCCTTTTCGTTACATCATCAAAAAACTAAAGTTTGTTAGACATGATTTGCCTTTAACAAATCCGTGTTGGCTGTCCTTTATTAACCCAGATTTTTCTAAGTGAAAATTGATTTTGTCCCAGGTTATAGCATCTAGACGTTTCCCCACCACTGATGTTAGGCTGACAGGCCCGTAGTTTCTGGGTTTATCCTTCTGCCCCTTTTTGTACAGGGGAGTTACTTTTGCAACCCTCCAGTCCTCCGGCATCACCCCGTTGTCCAAGGAGGATTGAAAGAGAGTAGCCAGAGCCTCCGTTATTTCCACCCTTACTTCCCTCAGTAACCTAGGATGCATCCCGTCCAGACTGGGTGACTTATCTACCTTGAACACCGACAACCTTTTTAGCATCTCCTCTTGGTTTATTCTTATTTTATCCAATTTCTCTACCCTTTCCTCCAATACTGTGGCATTGGTTGCATCCTCTTCTTTTGTGAAGACAGAGGCAAAGTACTCATTCAATATGTCAGCCATGTCCTCTGCCTTCACAAGAAGATTTCTTCTTTGGTCCCTAATTGGATTCACCATACCTTTGACTAACCTTTTATTCTTTGTATGCTTATAAAATACCTCAGGGTTCCCTTTTATGTTACCCGCTAATCCTTTCTCATACAATCTCTTTGCCCCTCTTATTTCCTTTTTCAGTTCTCCTCAGTACTTTCTTGATTCTATTTGATTATCTTCTGTATTTTGGACCTGACATTTATCATAAGCCTCCTTTTTCTGTTTTATTTTACTTCCAATTTCCTTATCCACCCAGGAAGATTTGGATGCCCTATCTTTCCCCTTTTGTGGGAATGTATTTGTTCTGTCCCTGAACTATCTCCTCCTTGAAGGCTTCCCATTGCTTGTTAGCTGTTTTACCTGCCAATCTTTCTTTCCAGTCCACCTTAGCTAGGTCCCTTTTTAACTCACTGAAATTAGCCCTGTACCGATTGAATACCTTCACCTTTGATTGCTCCTTGTCGCTTTCCAAAAGTACTCTAAACCTTATGATATTGGGATCACTGTTGTCCAGATGCTCTTCTATTGAAACCTGCTCCACTTGCCCCACTTCATTCCCTAGATCTAGATCCAACACTGTTTCCTTCCTCATTAGGCTGGAAACATACTGATCCAGGAAGTTATCTTGCACACATTTCAGGAATCCTTGCACTGTTTTTATTCCAGTCTACGTTGGGATAATTGAATTCCCCCATTATCACTACTCTACTGGTTTTGCATCTGTCTGAAATCTGCTTGCACATTTGCTCATCCATCTCCTTCCCACTATTTGGTGGTCTATAGTATACATGTAACATAGTAACAGCTCCTTTTCTGTTCTTTAATTCTAACAAAATAGATTTTGTTTTTGGACCCTCTAGCATATTGTCCCTGTCCAGGGCCATAACCATATCGTTAATCAATATTGCCACACCCCCTCCTTTTTTTCCTTTTCTGTCCCTCCTGAATACATTGTAGCCAGGAATATTCAGCTCTCATTCCTGCCCTTGTTTGAGCCAGGTCTCCATTATTGCCACTACATCATAACCTCATGTGGCAACTTGAGCCTACAGCTCACCAATCTTATTTGTCACATTCCGTGCATTTACGCACATGCACTCCAAGACCAACTTAGTCTGTTCTGCATTTCTCCCCCATCTAATTCCCCCTTATTCTGGATTACTCCTTATTACATTACTATTTGCCTCTCCCAGCCCTCTTTGTAACTTGTTTGTCCTCTCTGATGCTACATCCTGATTCCCTTCCCCCCTCAAAATTAGTTTAAACCCTTCCCCACAGCACGAGTTAACTTCCCTGAGAGGACATTGGTCCCAGCCCTATTCAGGTGTAACCCATCCACTTTGTACAGATCCCACCTGCCCCAATGATCCAGGAACCCGAAGCCTCCTTCTGCACCATTTCTCCAACCAAGCATTCACATGTTTGATCCAGCTGTTTTGATACTTGCTTGCACAAGGCACTGGGAGTAATCCAGAGATCACCATCTTCAAGGTCCTACGTTTTAGCTTTTTCCCTAGCTTCTTATACTCTCCCTGGGGGATCTCAGACCTTTTTGTTCCCTACATCATGGATCCTTACATGGATCGCAACTTCTGGATGTTCCCCTTCCCCCTGTAGAACATTTTGCACCCATCCTATGATGTCTTCAACCCTGGCACCAGGGAGGCAACATACCATGCAAGAGTCACGCCTTTGGTTATAGAAATATCTGTCTACTCCTTTCACTATTGTATCCCCAATGACAATTGCAGTGACACTCTTTCCTGTGTCCCCCTGTGCATCCATTTGCTTTTGACTCTTCTCCCCAGAGGTGTCATCACCCTGACTGATATTCAGTGCAGGGAACCAGTTTGTGAGGCTCAAGCAGTTGGAGGCACTTCCTTCACACATGTCTGTCCAGTGCACACAAAGCATCCTGCAGTTCCCACATGGCACACATTGTGCACACAACCAGTCTCAGGTGTCCTGCCATATTCCCAGACATGTTTTAGATTATTTTAATATAACTATTGTATATTTTATAATTATGCACCATTTTACCATTCTCACCAAATTCCTTAACAGAATTCTCACTCTGTTCCACTTCACTCAGCTCCCTCCTCACAGTGCTAGGCTCTCTGCTCATATGAGGTTCTCACAAGTCTTTTCCTTTATATAGGACTCAAACAAAAGCACTCAGTTTTGACTGGTTAGTAGATTTTTTAATCCCCAACACATAGACTATGATTAAATGCTGATTGACTTGTTTGCCTGCTTACATGTAAGGTTGCCTCTAACTCAAGATAGATTTCACACTCTTCTGCTGAATGAAAGAGTTTTCTCTTGTTCTCTGATATCTCTCTTGCTGAAGAATTCCCACTCTCACCAAATTCTTTAACAGAATTCTCACTCTGTTCCACCTCACTCAGTTCCCTCCTCATGCTGCTGGATTCTCTGCTCCTATGACATCCTTTTGCATAAATAATTGAATAGGCAGTAACTATGAGGTTTGGGGCCTGAAACATTAGGAGTATGGAGTAAGTAACTCTTTTGTGATATTATAGTGGGACACTTAGGCAAAAATTGAAAATATTCACTCAGGCAAAGGGCAGCATCCATTATGACTTATTTATGGTTCAACATAAGTAGACACCTGAGGCATATGAAGTACTTGAGTGGAACATTATTTAGACCCAGAGGTATTCATGCTTCCCTTGAGCTTTGAAACCTGAATATTACTTAGTAATGGTTGTCTTGTTTCAGATTATAAAAGAGAATTACCTCCCAATATTAGTAAAGAGCAAGGGGATTTAAGCAGCATCAGACACATGCAGTTTTATTGGAGTCAGAAGCAATAGGAAAAGTGTAGGTGAAAGCAAATAATAAGTCAGTACCACGGTCTATCATTTTTCCAAGCTTGTCTTCAAGATGATCATACTTGGTTACCTCAGAGAGCCTCTTATAAGAGAGAGGTACTTATAGAACTGCCAATAAATGTTACTCTATGTGATGTTTACATAGGTAACCTTTAAACTCTTGGATTTAGACAACTGCAAAACAATATATGCAATGGTTTCAATTAGTAAGATAAACTGTAAAGTGGTGGGCTATCGTTTGGATGGTCAACGAAATAATTGTTTCTTTATTGAATTTCTATCCATTTATGGCTGTGCAGTGGGTATCGCGTCTCAGTAGCTACTGGAAACATGGTATTGATTTGGCACGGACTGGCGTGGGTGTTTGGTGGGACACTTTTTCTCCCCCCCACCCCTCCCCAAGTGGATCGCAGACCTCTGTATTACACTGGTGTAGTGGCCTTAGTATTATGGTCACTGAATCTGTGCCCTTCATTGCCCTGCACACAATGCTACTAAATCTAGTCACTGCTTCACTGTACTATCAAACCATTTAAAAAATTATAATCATGTGCTCTCATGACAAATGATATCCGATATCCCTCATGACAATGAGAATAATCACAGATTTGTTTATTATTTGTGGTAATTTTACCACATACTATATTTTGGATTAGAAACTGCTGTGCTTATAGGAAAAAAAACAAACTCAGTGGTTTTCAAATTCAAATGAAGAGGCATGTCAATGACATTCAGTGCATATTTAAATAGTCATTCCAGGAGGTGCACTCAATTTCTTGGTGTTCACATGCTATTAAGGTGGTGGCAAGTCTTCAGTTGAACCCTCTAGGTTATGAAATGATTGTGCTGTATTCACAAAAGGTTACCTCTAAACACACCTGAGATCTACTGGAAACATATTTGATGAGATTAAAATCACATACACATATGAAACTATCTAATGTTGTAAATGTACCAATTTATTTTTAGTTAATTAATCTATCAGACCTGAGACAAACATTTCCATCATAACAAATGCATCTTTTTAGAGCCAATTAGTGAACCTCTTATCCTCCATTTACACTTTTGGCTGATTTCTATTGCGTCAATGTCAACAGTGTGCCTTTTGAGCTGCACTAATTGTAAGAAAATAACTATTGACCTAGTTGTGGTTTCAGATAATCCTTTCTACAATGTTGCTGGGAGTAACATCCATGCTTCACTCCTGCTTGCCAAACAGATCCTCTATCAAAGCTATATAGTTGATCACCTTGACTGGCTGAGTTGGAGGTTCTCCATTCCATCCCTGAAATAATAATAGGAAGAAAATTTAGAACAGGCTTAAAAAAATAAATTGGAATCCAGAAATTCAGCAGACAAAATATATGATCAATGTTCCCATATCATATTACATTATCAATTTTTATTGTTTTTTTCTAATAATCACAGGAGTGCAAATGCACTGAGAAAAGTACAGAAACAATAATATTGTTTCCATACTTTATTTTTTCCATCCTGCACATAGAATTCTTTTTTAAAAAAACACTAAGGTTACGGTATTTCAAACTCATTGTCAACTCCTGCGCTGTTTCTCATAATCTTTAATCTAATTTTACTAGCCTCGCTTTCTGATTTTGGTTTGTACTTAATTCTTTGTCTTTACATTCAAAATCCCAGTTGACAGGCCAAGGTTGCGAGAGTAGTAAGGTGTATTTGGAGAGGAAAGTTTAGCGGAGCATCGTCAAAATTAGTATCGATGAAATTAAGCATTTTTCGAGTGTGTGAGAAGAGTCCTGGAAGAGCATTTTCAGATATGGGACTAATGTTCAAGTTGTGAATGCACTTGAGAGAGATTTAAGAGTTCTTTGTTCTGTTCTGATCATTCTGTTTTGTCTCTAATTCTTTTACTGTTTCCTCTTTTGATTTCTCTGAGATCCCAAAGGAGATGAAAATACCCAACAACTTATGACATATTAGAAGGGGTCATTCTCCAGAAGTCAGTAAATTTATGTAGCTTGGTGGTGAGGAGAATGTGAAGTCCATAAATTTACCAACCTTTGAAAAATCATTGTTATTGAATTTGGAGTTTGAGTTGAGGAATCACTTGTAAATCAATTAAAAATCATAATATAATTTTAATAATGACTTATTAAACCTACTAATATTGGTATAACATAATAGTGAGACTTACCTTCACACAAATTCATTATTTTACTAGTTTGTAACTTGACCAAAGTTAATTTTGGATAGATTATTAAAGTATATAAAGAAAGGTGCAGACTGAACAAAGAGATGAACAAATATATGATACACAATGATTTCTGTCATGCTATGACAAGGGGGCATAATGTCTGTGGAAGATAGCAAGACATTTTTTTCCCCTTTAGGCCTCTTCTATTGGAACTCAATGTCTCTCCTTTAGTTTTGAAGATGTGGTGCATATTCGCTTCAGATACCATCCATTCCACTCCTTATAAAGAATGTTTTTTTCCAGGGTGGGAAACATCTTGCTAGCTTTTCTCCCAAGATCAAGTGTACCACCACCACAATGCACTACAGCTCAAGGTCCAGAGTCCCTAAATGTTACCATCTTTCAGAATTTCTAAATAATTAGATAATTATTTGGGGAGGACAAGTTTGCAGGGCTAATCGGAGAAAGCGGAGGAATGGGATTGATTTGGATAGCTCTTTTCAAAGAGCAGACAAAGACACAATGGGCCAAATGCCAATCTTCTGTGCAGTATAATTCTATGATTCAGACCAGGATGCAAAGGTTGGCTCCTTTGTTCTGATCATCTACCATTAAAACTACCAGCCACAAGATGCATTGCCTTACAGACAACCACCTCATCTTTTCACCCGAAATCTCGACAAATACAATCCATCCAGTAAATGCTAAACAATTAAAATAAATCAAATTTCTGTATATCAAAGCAACAAAATAAAAGAGAATAAAGGAATTGTAACAGTTTGTATTATTCCACAGGCCAAAGAGGCCTTCAATGAGATGGATGTAGTTCACAGTGTGGATGGCATATGTGAAATTCAGAAAAGAGAAAAAATAAAACAAAAAAAAGTACTTATATATTGATTAAATGCAAAAATTAAGGCAAGATAAATCAAACATAAATGTAAAACACAGAATAGTGATAATAATAATAATCCTTGCATTTGATATAGCGCTTTATCACTTCTTCGAGACTTCTCAAAGCGCTTCACAGAATATACTGTAAAGTGAATTGACTGTATATTTTATCGGCGAAGGGCGGCAGCCAATTACCCACAGCAGTGTCCCAACAGTCGTGGATTGAAGTAACCAATTTATTTTTATTATTTTTTTTGAAGGAATTATTACCCCCGGAAAAGTGATCCACCAATCAACTAATAACAGGGTTTGTACTACTGCTAGGTAAACAGAGGCGTGTGGAGTAAGGAAACTTGCCCAACATTTCGCCCTGCCGGGAATTGAACCCAGCTCTCTCGCTTGCCCCTCCTTCTCCTCCTCCTCCCTCCTCTCCCCTCTTCCCTCCCCTCCCTCCTTCCCCCACTCCCCTCTCCTTCCCTCCTTCTCCCCTCCCTCCTTCTCCCCCTCCTCCTTCCTTCTCTCCCTCCCCCCCCCTCCTTCTCCCCCTCCCTCCTTTCTTCCCTCCCCCCCCCCTCCCCTCCTTCTCTCCTCCCCCCCCCTCCCTCCCCTCCTTCCTCCCTCCCCTCCTTCCCTCCCTCCCCCTCTCCCTCCTTTCTCTCGGATCCTCAGCTTTGTGTCGGGAGAGGAGAGACCACCCACAGTCTGGAGAGAGGGAGAGAGGCCAGAGTCGGGCGCCATTGCAGCTGCTCTGCGCTGCTTTGTGTGACTGAGCGACTGCTTTTTGTTTGGAGAATAAAACAAAAGCAGCTGCTGACCCCCCAACCCCCCCAACCCCCCCCCCACCCCCACCCCCAGTCTCCCCCCACCCACCACCCACCCACCTTCTCCCCACCACCCACATCTGGAGCTTATTGCAGACCGATGGGCGCTGTCCGGGTGAGGTGAGACTCGGCGTGTGGTCAGGGCTGTGGTCTTCAGGGTCCAGGAGGGGACAGTGAAAGCACCAAAAACTTCTTACAGAGTTTGGCGAACAAAAGAAACTGCTCCAGTCATAGTGTGTGTGTGTGTGGGGAGTGGGGGGGGGGAGTGGGGGGGGAGTTGGGCTAAAGGAAATCTGGAGAGAAAGCGCATCTATTCCTTGTGCAATTCGCCTGTTTGGTTTTGACTGTGACTGAATGTGTTTTGCAGTTGATTTTAGATGTCCACATTGCCCTCTCCCTCTCCTCCTCTCCTCTCCCTCTCTCCCTCTCTCCCCTCTCCCTCTCCCTCTCTCCCTCTCCCTCTCTCCCTTCTCCCTCTCCTCTCTCCCTCTCCCTCTCCTCCTCTCCCTCTCTCCCCTCCTCCTCTACCTCTCTCCCTCTCCTCCTCTCCCTCTCCCTCTCTCCCCTCTCTCCCTCTCCCTCTCTCCCTCTCCGCTTGTGAGCCAACGCTGCTCCAGAGTGAGTGAGTGAGTGAGTGTGAGTGAGTGGTCGGTCGGTCGGTGATGGTTTGCGGGGAGGGCTCTGCACACACCGCACACACCGCCCGCCCGGCACTCGCTTTCACGCACAAAGAGCCACCGCGGGTTTGCCTCCTCGCACTCGTTGGTTTTGCACAAGAAATATTCTACAGTAATTTGGTTCATTGAGAGAGAGAGAGAGAGAGAAAGAAAGAGAGAGAAAGGGGGAACGGGTGAGACGGGCCCACAGACACTGCCGGGAGGAGGGGGTCTGGTCCATATCACCACATATTGGATTAGCACCAAAACCAGGTCACTGGTACACAGAAAAGCTGAACACTACACTCCACTGCCAGGAACCACCAGAAGCTATTTTTTTTAATATATATGTATATTATATTTATATATATATATATATAAAATAAATTGCGCTTCGATTTCTTGCAGTAGAATAAATCCAAACATCTCCGTTCTCGCTTGGCCAGTTTTCTTGACGATTCCGCGGCGGATGTTTTGCAGGAGCTGCTGCGAGAAGTCGGCCGCGGATGCTTTTCCTTCACGTGTCGGATAATTCGTCGCCGTCTCCCGTTACTTTGCTTCTTCCTTCAGAGGGGAGGGCCGACCGGGCTGCCCTGCGCACGTGCCCTTTGGCAGCTGTCATCGTTTGCCCTAATTGTCCTGAGCCTGAAAATTCACTAAATACTACAACAACAGCTTGCACTTATATAGCGCCCTCCACGCAGTGTAGCGTCTCAGAGCGCTTCACAGTGGCGGAGCCTGACTCCGAGCCGAGGGGAGGGGGGAGGTGACCGTAAGCACGGCCGAAGAGGAAGGTTTTCAGGCGGGACTTGAAAGAGGGGAGAGAGGGGGCAAGGGGGCGGAGGGATTGAGGGAAAGCGTTCCAGAGTTTTGGGGTTAGTGGCTGATAGTGCGACCTCCGATGGTGGGGCAGAGGGTGCGAGGGACGAGCAGGAGACCGGTGCCAGTTGAGCGGAGGCGTGGGGTGGTGGATTGGAGAGTGAGGAGGCCTGAGAAGTAAGAAGGTACCAGGGAGTGAATGGATTTGAACACAAGAGTGAGGAGAATGGCAATCATTCATTGAGCTTTTTAATAATAATCCTTGTACTTCATATAGCACCTTATTACATCAGTGAGACGTCTCAAAGCGCTTCCCAGAATATACTATAAAGTGAATTGATTATATTTTGTGGGCAAAACATGTCAGCCAATTTCGTACAGCAGTTTCTTATGAACCGTCACAGATTGAGTGACCATCCGGGTTAACTCACCACCATTGCAAAAAGAAAATAGCCAAAAGAGTGACAATTCAGGTAAAATCTTCTGCTGCAACAAACTCCAGATTCACTCCAACCAATCCCCCAAATTCGAAAAGTTTCTAAAATGTTTCAATTATTTTCATGATTGTTCAGGACTGTCCCATACCAGTATCTTACTCCCACACAGAGGCTGTTATGTATGAGGAAATACAGAATGTTAGATCAATCATTATATTTAATGATGATTTTCCACAAAACAAAATCCTAAATATCATAATTGCAAGTGCGTTGCAGAAAGCTCTGTATTTGTGAAATAAGTTATACTGTAGAAACGGTGGTGAGTTCTGTGATTCAGCATTTGTAAAATCACCATATTCAGTGAGGTGCCAAGTTTTACATCTGGTACATCCCCATTAGAAACTTATTTCAAAAGGTGAATGCAGCTTCAACAATTGCTCTGTGGATAAATCTATTCAAATGCCTGGGATAACTTTATAACTGTGATATTAAACCTTCAAAGGCAATAAAGGATTAAGATACAATAATAATTCTTGCATTTGGTATAGCACCTTATTATGTCGGAAGGACGTCTCAAAGTGCTTCACAGGAATTACTGTGAAATGAAGTGACTGTGTATTTGTAGGCAAACGTGGCAGCGTAATTGTGCGCAGCAATGTTCCACAAACAGCCATGAAAAGAATGAACAATTTTTATTTGGCTGGGACACATAAAGAACAGGAAGCTATGGATTCAAATCCCAAACTTTGCTGACTATGAATGACTTCAACTCATAGTTTAGTTTGATACATAGATTGTGAGCTAAAGTCTCGATGTGAGACTTGAGCTCACAACCTTCTGACTCAGAGACCAGAGTACTGTCGGCTGAAGCAAGATGTTAAATAATGCACTTTATATTTAAAAACACTAAGCTTTGACATCTGTGATCCTTTTTGTAGAAGATGGAACAAGAAAAGGGCATTTGCCCTACCTAGGCCGTTCCTGCAACAGACCATTCATAACCTACTATGTTATTATTATTATTGTTGTTAACTCCACCCTCACCACTCACCTCCAGGAGGGATATTCAGGATAAGTACTTTATACTTACTCCCTGATCTACAAAGGTAATAAACCAAACCTCCAGAATGTTTTGCCCATCTCCTAAATATCTAGGTCTGCTACTTTATATAAATCCTAGACACAGACACAGTATCTTTCTGTTTGAGTCTCTGCACCACCAAAACCATCTTTTTCCATGGGGATATTTGTGCATACCAATGCATTCGTAATCTCAAATTGCTTTCCTGATCAGATATTTGTGCAGTTTCTTTTTGAAGGTTTACATAGCATCAACTGCTGGGAATGGATTTCACCCAGTATTCTGGGAAAGGGAAAACAAATTATTCTAAAAAATAATCTTGCTTCAGGCTTGTTAATACAGGAAAGTTCTGTGCTCATTTTCTAAACCAAATAGTGTAGTTGCTTTTACACTAGAAACTAATATGTTATTTGCATATTAGATTTTGTCCACAAAATATACAGTCAATTCACTTTCCAGTATACTCTATGAAGCACTTTGAAACGTCTCAAAGATGTAATAAGGCACTATATCAAAGTCAAGGATTTTTGTTGCATTGACTGCAATTTGCAATTCAGAATTCTGAGATTCAAAGCTACCTCCAAAATTGGGGATTCGAAAATATTTAAACTTTTTAAAATATTGATATATTGATATTTAATATATCAAACAAATGTTGAGTCTTATAACGGGACTCTACTATATGTGGAATTATTACCCAGGTGGAGACAGATGTTCAGCAAGTTCAAGAGGGAATTAGATGAGCTTATTTGGAGAAGCGATCCAGTGAGGGATATGAAAAAGAGAGATATGTTGGATTTTGTGTTTTTATGCTGGAAGTGGAAAAATGGGTCACATCTATACAATCTTATTTTCCTAAATATAATTCAGATATATGATTCTGGTATCCTTTAAAGCTGCATTACCTCAATTTCAGATTTTTTTAAACCAAAGACTTTTTTAGTTAATTAAAATCAAAGCAAACTAAAATACTATTTTAGTTCGGAAGTGTACGCAGTCTAACTTCATTTGTAGTCTGGTAGCTAAATGAAAAAGCCCAACTTTACAAATACCGAGAGAAAAGGTGTAGAATTTGTGAAGTTTGCTGACGTAAACCTGGATTTCTTATGTGTGACATTGATTGTGTGAATCAGCTGTTAAGAAAAGTAAAATTTTCCCGTCTGTCTGTCTGTCTGTCTGCCTGCCTGCCTGCCTGCCTGCCTGCCTGCCTGTGTCTTTAGTTAACTGATTATGTTGTTTGATAATCTAACTGCTAGTGCATATTCCTGCCTCATTCAAAAGCCCATGTTTGATGTGATTTCAGTCACCTTTCTCCTCTTCACCTCCTTGGCTCCCACCCCCAACTCGAATGCCCAGCCAGCATTGTCAAGCACTTTGGGACATTCTCTCGATGTGAAAGGCACTGTGTAAATTTAAATTGTATTGTATGACATTTGTCATAATCTGTTCATATCCAATCCAAAATAGTAACAGTACCTTACTGAATATTCAAGTTATCAATGCCAAAAGAGAGAGATTGCAGTGTTTATTTTTTCTTTGGTCTAACCAGTGAATTCTCTTTTGTGTTTCCTTCTCAGCATTCAAGCATGCCAGAACCTCTCTGTTCCACACCCTCACAATGAACTGCAGTGCCAATTTTAGCAGAACAGGTCTGGGAAACAACACTTCACAGGAAGATGGCGCTGTCATTGTTGCAGAATCTGTCGCCATCATTGTCATTGCTGTGCTCATCTGCTTGGGCAACCTGGTGATTGTCGTAACTCTTTACAAGAAATCCTACCTCTTAACACCAAGCAATAAGTTTGTCTTCAGTCTGACTCTTTCCAATTTCCTCTTATCAGTTTTGGTACTTCCCTTTGTTATCGCCAGCTCCATCAAGCGAGAATGGATCTTTGGTGTGGTTTGGTGCAACTTCACTGCACTGCTTTACATGCTTATCAGCTCAGCGAGCATGATGACCCTTGGAGTCATTGCAATAGACAGGTAAGATGTGTTTCTTTCATGAAAGAAATTGACAAAGTAAATAGGGAAGGATCTTATTTTTAGGAAGGGGAAATAAGAACAGGAAGACTTAACCAGTTAAAAGTGAGTCCAGAAAGCATCTTTTCACACAAAAATTGTGATTAATCACACGTGATTTCAGTCACCTGCCCCGCCCTCACACTGAACTCCGTACTCCCATCACACAAGTTCTTGCCAGGCTCCACTAGGATTGAGCGGATCTATTTCAAGATCCGCACACTAGTTTTCAAATCCCTTCATGCCCTGGCACCTCCCTACTTCTTTGACCAGCTTACTTCTCAATCCACTATCCGTCGCCTCCGCTCGACTGGCTCTGGCCTCCTACTTGTCCCTCGAGCTCTCCATTCCACCATAGGTAGCGCACTTTCAGCCACTGCCCGTGCCTTGCCCCCTCCTTCACGATCTTTTAAGTTGCACCTGAAGAACGTCCTCTTCGAACATGCTTACGGTCACCTGCCCCCACCCTCTGGCTTGGGGTTAGATTCCGCCACTGTAAAGTGCTCTGAGACGCTACCCTGCTTGAGGATGCAAGTTGTTTTTGTTGATCATGTGGCTTGCACTATCGTAGAGGTCATAGATGCAGAATCAATGGAGATGTATTAAAAGGAGGCAGACAGGTGCTTGGGAAGCAAATATATTGAATATGAAGAAAAGATGAGCAAATAGTATTCAAAAGAAAAAAAAAGCTGCGATGAACTAAAACAGTAACTTGCACTTATCTAAGGGTATTTCAATTAGGACAATATCTCAGTACTTTTCAAAGATGATGTGGAACACTAAGTCAGGTGGGAGAAGGGGGAGAGTTGGCTCAGTTGGTGGGTCTCTCACCTCTGAGCAGAAGTTTGTGGGTTCAAATCTCACACTGGCTAATATTCTATGGGATTCCAGCCTTTGAATGAAACATTGAACCAAAAAAATTCCCGTCTGTCTGTTCGGGTGGATGCTAAAGATCCCATAGCATTATATGAAAAGTGAAGGGAGTTTTTCATGATAATCTTCAAAATAAATTGATCATTCAGCACCTGACAGTTTGTGTGACATTGTGTGCAAATTTGCTGCCACATTTGCCTACGGATACCAGGTCACTACACTTGACAGCAATTTCCTGTGGAGCACTTGAGATGTTAGGTTTTATATCAAATGGAAAACTGATTATTATTCTAACAGCAACAGTAAAATTAGATAATGCAGGTATTCAATAATGTCTTCACATTCACAAGCTTTAGAATACAGTTTTTTCTGACAGAGTGGTGTTCTCAATGATAAATGAATAATTTATTTTTCTGTTATAAGCTCCTAGAAACTTGTACAACAAATAATGGCTACTTGGTGCATTTTTACAGCAAATTTCAGTACAGAGTTTCATATTTCAGTTACAGTATTGCAGAGAGTACTTAGCTCCAGTAAAAAAACAACTCTTTTAGCCTGCAAGGGTTGGGCTGAGTATGTCTTTCAGCCTTGGGTGCACTTGATGTGGCAATTCTGTGACATACAGAACAAAGGAACAAGAGATGGTGACAGCAACAGGACCAACACAGACCTTGTTTCAAATAATGGAACAAAGGAAACTCAGAGGCTTGAAGGTCGTAGTATTTTTACAAGGATGCGCAAATTTATTTTTTACTCAAACCTTATTGTAATCTGTATTAAAGCAATTATTGATGATAATTTTCACTTATGCAGCGCCTTTCACATGGACATCCAAAAGGGCTTTACAAAATATAATAGATTTAGAAATGTAAGGGAATGTCATTATATAAGCAAACACGACTGCTAATATTACTCCAGCAACATCCCACAAACAATGAAATGGTGTCAACTTGATGTGAATTTGGGGATACAGTGAAATAAGGATGGAGTAGGGGGTGGTGCGGGAAGGAAGAGGATATAAACTAGGATAATCATGAGGAAAACTCCAATTTGTTTGAAATAGGAATGGCAGGGCACTCTCTTTACAATGTCAAAATTGTGTTATTGCAGAAATATTGCATAAAATTCAGGGCACCCAGAAGACTGAATTACAGTGTGCATTCAGTGCATTTAAATGTATGTCTTTATATATTGGTGCACCCACCCACAGTGCAACCAGTATTTAAAAGTATGGGTGAAAAACATTCAGTGCTGGTCTTTGGTGTTCGTGAGACTGGAGATGTCTGCAAAGGTTCTCAGAAGCTTGTGAACGGATGAGCCTCTGGTGGATTATTCAGAAACAGAGTTAAAGAAATTTACTTTTTTCAACCACACCACAGTGATCTCGGTTATTCTCAGTGTTTATATTTCAAATAAAAATATTGAAAATTCTGAAGGCTACTTCCTCGCCTGTGTATGGTTTTTAGGGTTCATACAGAACGTTAGTCAACAGTATTATGTTGGGTTTTTGGCATCACATTCATCTTAGGAAGGATATACTCCGGTAGCGATCATTCACCAAGATGATGCTTGGAATGAAAAGATTTAGACGTGATCAGAGGTTGGCTAAACCTGAGGTATATATTCCTTAGAGCTGAAGTAGTTAAGGGGCAATCTTATTGAAGTGTTAAAGGGCAAGATAGTAAGGTGTTTGTGACTTGACTTGAAATCACCTAGTGTTTCGTTTTAAGGGTTTCTGGGCCAAGAAGAAAAATCATAACAAAGTACTGGTCGCCACAAAATGGTCTTTGCCAAGCTTTGCTGCTGGCAATTATTTTCCTGTTTTAATAATACTGCTAATTTTAGTCGCAGACCGTAAATCACTTATTGTGCAACAACGTGCGGTGTGCAAATATCCCATTATGTGGGACAAATTCAGAGCAGCTTTGCTGAAACAGAAGGCTTGCACAAACATCACTACTGATGTCAGCCAGCATGTGCAGATCCCCCGCTGGTATGCCCTTTTAATGTGTCTTCATGTAAATGATCAAGTTAGAACAAAAGACAAGCAGCAAAAGCTGCACATACCATACCTCCTGCCTATGAGGAAATTGTAATCTGCTTGTTTCTAAGGAGCCCCATGAACTGGTGATGTGTGTGTGTGTATATATATATATATATCAGAAATTTGAACACCATTCACGATTCGTGAGGTGATTTGGATTCTTGACTGAATTGTAAATGTAATCTGTTATCGCTGTTTGTTGTTGTTGAATGATGGTTGAGTTAAAAGGATTGGATTCTCTTACACAATGCATCCCGAAACACTGCAACACAGAAACTGCATGGTTCAATATTCTATTTAGGAGAAAAAATTAAATTGCGAACTAAAAGGTTCTCAATTCAATCTAGAAATCAATGTTTGTAAAGTGCATGATCTTTGTAAAGCTCACCAAAGTAAATACATTGCGCAGCTCTCCTAAACCATCTCCTCTTCCCTCCTCCTCCTCACCCACTCTCAAGTGGCTTCTGAATCAAAAGGTAGGATTAAGCAATGATCACGGATGCTGGTGCAATTGTAATGTGTGGAATTTTAATGGTATCAGTGGAGGATGTCAGAATCAGATGGGAAATATAACTGTTGACTTGAGGCTGACTGGATAACTTCCAACGAACCAAGTCCCAAGCAGAGATGTTTGCCGTTTTGGACATATGATTTCCACAATGCATTCTATTTACCGCAAAAGGTTTCTCCACACTTTATTTTGCCTCCCAGACTAAAGGGCTAAAAGATGTGTAAGACTGTCCCAGAGGTGAAGTCTTCCTTGTTTTGCCTCCCTGCAGAAAAGCTGCCACAAGTCTTGGTCAAGCTCAAAAGTTCACCATGGATCACACCTTCTGTGGTCAATACTGCCACCAGTTAGCAACACACAATAATTCTCACCTGTGGTTTAAGGCACACAGACTGGGTGCTCCACACTTCAAATGATGTGGGAAATATTATATTTTCAGTTGTTTTTAAGTTAAATGAAGGTTTTATATTTGTTTCTCCCGTGAAGGTGTTGACTTGCTGAAGAACTGTTCCGCATGCGCTAGCCAACCTTTGGTTACTCATCTAAGTGACCTTTCTTCATGTGTTATCCATAGCGTGTTGGCAGCCTATTCAACAGTGAGGAGCATCACAGCTTGAGCGCAAACCTGTTCTCATTTGACATCCATACATCTGCACTTTCTGGCACGAGTTGCCAGATAGGAATTGAATGGAACTCAGGCTGATTTTGTTTTTTTTACCTTTCTTTACTCGGGGGTGCCACGACCAATGGTAGATTCCCAATTGCTGCTTTGCCTAAGATCAGCTAAGTCAGCACAGAGCAGGAATCGAATCTGCAATTTTCTGGGCTAAATCAACCTAGTGCTGTAATTGTGGGTATCATTATCCATGATCTACTAGGAAGCAACATTTCAGCCATGTCTGTTTGATGAAGAAGGAATGAAATGGAGAGGTTAATTGTTAAGGAAAGTCGATCACTAACCGTTTAGATAGAGATGGTAGATAAGTTATATGCTGAGTATTCTCTTTCAGTTTCTCCTTCAGTGAGCTTTCTCACTTACGCAAGTTGCAGTCCTTGCCACGTTCTGAGACGCTACCCTGCACGAAGGACATTATAGAAATGCAAGTTGTTTCTCATACATGTGATCTGTATGCTCTGTGCTG